TTACTTCATCCAACAAAACTGAAGTGGATGTCACTCTCTAACTTACGGGCAGAGGAGCCTGTGTGAGAAACACCATGCTCTCAGTGTGTGCCACGTGAGGCGGAGCTTCATTTGCTTGGTCTTCCGGTGAGCAGAGCAGAGCCTTGATCTGGCTGGACCAGGGAAATGTGTTACTCTTTGCTACTGAGATTTTGAATCGATTGTGTTAAACCACAGAGAATTTGGGACTTTTTTTTGTTGTTTGTTTTTTGAGACAGGGTCTCCCTGTAGCCCCAGCTGGCCTTGCACTCACAGATATCTGCCTGCCTCTGCTGGGATTAAAGGCATGTGCCACCAGGCCCCGACTTTTGGGAGTATTTGTAACTGCTGCATGGTCTAGCTCACAGTGACTTGATTCAGTAAATTTAGGAGCAGTAACACAGAAAGAAGAAATTCAATTAAAAAAAAAAAAAGCATTTTGAAAATAGTTCTTGAAACATTATTACTACTATTTTTTTGATTTTGAAAATTCTCACCATATTTTATTTTTTAATTCTAATATATATTTTTATTTAATTTTGTGCATTTTATACATTTAATTATATTTAAGCCCCCTCCCCTATCTGCACCCCACCATAGCCCACCCACTGGATTTCATGCTGTTATTGTGTGTGTGTGTGTGTGTGTGTACACATATGTATGCAGGTACATGTGACAGCCAGAGGTTGACATCAGATATCTTCCTCAGTTGTTCCCCATGTGTTTGTGGGAGGAGGGGTATGTGCACATGTGCAGGGACCAGAGGAGGATAACAGGTGCCCTCCTCAATCACCATTGGCCTAATTTGGGACAGGGTCTCTCACTGAACCTGCAGCCATACCTAACTTTTTATGTATATACTGTGGATTCAAACTCGGGTCTCATGCTTGCACAGCAGGCACTCTTACCTACTGAGTCATCTCCCTAGCTACTTCACCTTGTTTATTATTTTTATTTTATGTGTATGACTGTATTGCCTGCATGGGATGTAAGTACACCAGTGTCATGCAGTGCCTGTGGAGATCAGAAGAGGTCATTAAATTCCCTTGGAACTGGAGCTACAGAAGGTTGTTAGTTGCCATCTGGGTGCTGGGAACCAAACCCAGATCCTCTGCAAGAGCAGCCAGTGCTCTTAACCTCTGAGCCATCTCCCCAGCCCCAGCTCCCAGCTTTTTATGGGTGCTGGGGATCCAAAGGCAGATCCTTATGCTTGCATAGCAAGCATTTTACTGACAGCCATCTTCCCAGCCTCCTACTTGCAGTAGATTTTCTTAACATTTTTACATTACATTCAGGAGACAGTTAAACGACCATCTTGCTTATGAGCTTACTTTTTCTTCTATAGTTAAGAAACTGATCTGCCAGAAATGCTTATACATTTTCCTTGTGCTACAGAACTTGTTTTTCCTTCATGAAAGGAAAGGAGGAGAAATTTTGTACTTGGGAAACCGGAGGCCTCAACAGACAGTGATACCTTTATCTAAGCAGTTCTTTAAGAACAATAGCACAGTTTTACTCTACATTTCTAGTGCAAAAAGAGTGTGTGTTTAACATAGGTCTTCTCTTACCCGTAGGATCTTATTTCTGGCGTGTAGCTGCTGGTGAAACCTGGCTTTAAATTGTGCTCTGTCTTGCAGTTAAGTTAGTCTCAATGTTGTGGTTGAAGAGTCATTGTTTATTCATGATGGTTTGCTCATTCTGCACATAATAAACTCCATTTTTAATGAACAAAGCCATAGTTTTAGAAAATAGTATCTGTTGTAATTCTATAAGAGGAAATTTCTCTAAATTTTCCCTAAAGCTGGAATACATGACAATGGAGTTTTATGAGTTTACTTGATTTCAGAAATTTGAACAGAGGAAAAAAAAATGATCATCTGCCAAATTTATACCGCCTACTTTAATCTCATACCCAACATCCTGTCTCATTTGTTCCACTGGTATTTATTATCCTGCAGTTTACACATTTCTTTGATGTGAGTATCATGTTAGAAAAAAGATGCATTGTCTTTTAAACTGGGTGCAGAAGGGTCCATGCACTGGAAAAACAGTACTTATAACTGCCACCCTTTCATGCTTTTAGGGAATGGGTGACAGTTTTGAAGTATTTTGACTTTTTAAGATTTAGCACTGTCAATTCATTTTGGCTGTTTTTAATATTCTTGTCTATATATTCCAAGAACGAGAACTAATATCACCCTTAGAAAATAGTCTAGTTGAGCCGTCCTTACTTCTTAAGAGAAGAAATCTTGTGTTTCAAATACAGTCTTACATGGTATTCAATACATAAAACAAAATTTTAAATTTAATCTTTTGTTTTGGAGGCATGGTCTCTTTATGTCAGTCCTGGTGGGCCTTGCTTCCATGTCATGCTAGGATTACAGGTGTGTGCCACCAACCCTGATTCAGACTGCTCATATTGTTATTTGTGTGGTCAGAAAAGATGATTTTGAACAAAAGTATTTGGTTTAATTTTTAAGTATTTATTATTTTATGTGTATGAGTGTTTTACCTGAATGTATATAAGTGCACCACATGCATGCAGTGCCCTTGAAAGCCAGAAGAGGGTATTGGATCCCCTGAAACTGGAGTTACTGAGGGTTATGAGCTGCTATGTGGGTGCTGGGAAGTGAACGCAGCTGCTGTTAACCTCTGAGGCATCTCTCTAGCCCCATGAGTGAATTGTCATTTAAAAATAGGTTGTGTGAGGCCAACAAGATGGCTCAGTGGGTAAAGGCATCTGCCACCAAGCCTGAGGACTCAAGTTGGATTCCTAGCACCGACATGGTGGAAGGAGAGAACTGACTCTAACAAGTTGTCCTCTGACTTCCAGTGCACGCGTGCACACACACACACACTCAATCAATCAATCAATCAAGTATTCAGTCAATGTAATTTAAAAACAGGTTGTTCCCTGAAAGTTTCAGACATTTTAAAATTCAATTTCAGTCAATATTATAAATATTTGTCAGCCCAGACCATTCATTATTTAGTACATAAGTAAATGAAATAGTATTACTAGCTGTTCCATGTGCAATTCCAGTTAGGGTGACATTTTCAGAAAGCCTCCTGACTATTGTCATAGGAATAGGTTTTTGTTGTTTTTCTGATTCTTAATTCTGAAACTTTCTCCATTTCCTCCAACTGGGATAAAAGAGAGCAGGGACTCTTTCTCCCTGTTTGGTTTTAGAAGTAAAAATGGTCTTGGGGCTGGAGAGATGGCTCAGGAGTTAGGAGCACTGACTGCTCTTACAGAGGATCTGGGTTCGATTCCCAGGCCCCAAATGGTGGCAAACAACTGTCCATAACTCCAGTTCCTGGGGATCCGATGCCCTCTTCTGTCTTCTGAAGGCATCGCATGACATGGGTGCACTTACATACATACACATAAAATAAAAGTAATACTTTAAAACATGGTCTCATATTTTTAACTCTCCACTGAAGTGACTGCCCTCTCTGAGGAAGATTCATAGCTGTGAGGAGGCCTTAATTTAGATCTGTGCTTTTAGGTGCTGAGTTTTGTAAAGCTCTTCAAAGATAAAACTATTCTAAAACAAAGCACATTTTTGTGCTGCTTTAGAAAGCTGATTATTAAGGGAACCCCATGACAGCTCCACTTGCCTGGCAAATGCTCCTTTCATGTGCCTGGGTAATGGGAAAACTCCTGATAAGCCAGCAGTGCTTTTCCACCCACCAGCCCCACTGATGAAAGTCCTCTCTGCAATGGTTCTGGCCCACAGCCTGTGGCCCTAGCCTCCTACCCCCAGGGCTCATGTCCCCATTACAGTCCATGAAGCTGCCTAGCATTCCTCTGTGGCCTGGCAGTTGCCTCAGGCTATCACTTAGCTGTATCTAAAATTCCACACAGCAAGTTTGAGATCAAAATTAAATTGAAGACTCAGGGATACAATACCTACTAGGCATGCTCAAAGCTGTGAGTTGGAGCACCAGTACCATATTCTCTCTCTCTCTCTCTCTCTCTTTCTCTTTCTCTCTCTCTCTCCCCCCCTCCCCCCACTCATCTCTCTATCATCTATCATGCGCGCACACACACACACACACACACACACACAGATTTCTAAGTAAAGTGATAGCAATTATAATCCATGATCTCTCCTGTTACTTCTGCTAGTCTAGGAAACAATCATAGCATAACAATTACTCATGTTTTTTTGTTGTTGTTGTTGTTTGAAATGTGTAATAATATAATCAGTAGTTCTGTGTCAAAAATTTTAGTACAGGGACTGGAGAGATGGCTCAGTGGTTAAGAGCACTGGCTAGTCTTATAGAGAACCAGGACTTGAATCCCAGCACCCACATGATCACTAACAACTGTCCATTACTCCAGTTCTGGGGGAACTGATACCCTGTTCTGTCCTCTGTAGGCACTGCATGAAACTGGTGCACCAATGTACATGCAGGCATAACACTCAGCCACAAAAAAATAATAAATAAAAATAAATTATAGTACAGTAACTAAATAAAACCTCAATAAAGTTCATTGCTTCCTTACGTAACATTTACAGAGCAAGTATTTGTTTTTATTGTTGTTGTTCTGTTCTGTTCTGTTCTGTTCTGTTCTGTTAGGCCCAGTAACCCCATCTCGCCTGGAACTCACTATGTAGACCAGGCTGGTCTCAATCTCACAGAGATCCCCCCACCCCTGCCTCCCAAGTGCTGGGAGTAAAGGTGTGCAGCCACCACACCTGGCTACCGAGCAAGTATTTTAATACTCCAACCCTTAGTTCCTGTGAGTAGAGTTGCTCCTAAGTATTTATCTCACAGGGTTGTGGCAAGCTCTGATGTTCCATTTAAAATGCTTTAATGTGGTATGTAGGTGCTTTAATCATTCTTAATTATTTCTCTCATTATTTTGAAATCCTGTGTTGCCTAGGAAAATATTACTGGAAAAGTTAAGTACAGTGGACTCAAGAAATTATGGTTTCTAATGGCCTTCCTCCCCCTGCCTCTGCTCCCTGCAGAATGTGACAAGTTGCGGCGAGATGGCTGCCGGAGTTCTCAGTACTACTCTCAGGGACCCACCTTTGCAGCCAGCTCCAGCCCGGGTGATGATTATCAGGATGAGGATGTGGAAACAGATCGAAAGGTAAGGCTGAGTTCAGCACAGGGCCTCATTGCACCCCAGGCAGAGAATTGCTGATGACCTCAGAATAAAGCCTATATTGTAGTTAATAGTAGTGTCACAACCTAATTTCGTGGTTTTGACATAAGTTTGGAAATTATGCAAGATACTAACCTAAGGGAACTGGATGAAGAGCATATAAGGAACTCTTAGTATCTCATTTCTCTTCAGGCATAAAAGTATTCTAATTTGTTTAAAGGAAGTAAGGTCAAGATCCAAGAAATCCATTAAAGCAACACATACTCAGTATATTTGTACATTACAAATTTCTTTTGGTTAGAAAAAAATGGCTTTTAAAAATATTTTGTTTTTCTATATGACAAAGAGCCCAGTCTTCTCACAAAGAATTCTGTTTCTAATCAGTTTTTCCTCACTAATCATGAATTGCCCATGGAAAGCTGTTTTGGTGGCTAAAGATATGGGATGACATTGATGCGGCTCTGGTGAGGGTCCTCTTGGCTGCGTGCGTCACATCATGGCAAGTGGAATGACAGAAACAAGTGTAAGCAAACATCTCATCTCAAAATACGAAACGAGAGGCTGAGTGGCACACAGCCCAGGCTTTTATAGCAGTGCTCTCCTGAGCACTACCTCAGTCTCTTTCAAGGGCATGCCCTGAATGACTTGCAGGCCTCCTAATAGGCCTTGCTGTTTAAAGATCCCACCTTCAACATTGTCACAGTAGAACTAAGACTGCAAACATGGGCCCCTGGGGTATAAACCACATCCAACTCATAGCAAACTTGGTTAAAAGCAAAAGCCACTGTTTCCTAAGTGGCCAGGGTTTTTAATGTAGGTCAAATATATAAGTAATGCTTTAACTTAGCTTTGATTGTCCACTTGACATAGCCTAGGGGTCCACATCTAAGAGGAAAGCCTCCACTGAGGAATTTCCTAGATCAGATTGACCAATGGGCATGTCTTGATTATTAATTGCAAAATGGTCCAGCCCTCCTGGCATGTGGAAAGGAAGAGCTGGATAGCAGAGCAGGTGGGCAGCAAGCAAAGGGAAGAGAAGAAATGAGAACTGTAGGGGAGGCAACCAAGGGCCAGGTCATGCAGACCCTCAGGGGCCATGGTAAGGACTCCGAATCTCTTGATTCTGGGTAGGATGAGAAGCCGCTGGGCAAGTGGAGCAGGGAAGTATCGTGATCTGAACTGTAAGTTAGTGCAGTTTCTGAATATTAGCTTATAGGAAGTTGCTGATAGATGCGAAGAGACAAGGCAGTAGGCTTCTGCAGTAATCCAAGGAAGAGATCACCCACGGTGGCTGGGGGGAGGAGCATGGCAGTGCGGATTCTGGTTTATGTAAAATGTGTCCTATAGACTTGCTGAAGTTATAAGAAAACAATTGAGGATGAGTCTGTATGTATTTGCCTTTCTTTTTTTATTTATTGTATTTTATTTTATGTGTATGAGTGTATTGCCTGCATGTATGTAAGTGTATCTGTGTCGTGCAGTGCCAAAGAGGTCAGAAGAAGGCACTGGATTGCCCTGGAACTGGAGTTAAGGACGGTTTGTAGCCGCCATGTGAGTGCTGGGAATCGAACGCAGGTCCTCTGCAAGAGCAGCCAGTGCTCTTCACCGCTAAGCCATCTCTCCAGCCCCTTGTCTTTCTTTTAAAAAAGACTTATTGAGGGCTGGAGAGATAGCTCCACAGTGAAGAGCACTGACAGCTCTTGCAGAGGTCCCAGGTAGTATTCCCAGCACCCACATGGTGGCTAACAATCATCCATAACTCCAGGTCCAGGGGAATTTCACACTCCTCTGACCTTCGAGGGCATTGCACAACACAGGTGCACTTACATACATGCAGACAGTACATTCATACACATAAAAATAAAAGTAAATAGAATATTTTTTAAATATTTATTTTTATTTTATGTGTATGAGGGTTTTGCCTGCATGTATATAAGTGAACCACATGTGTACCTGATACACACAGAGACCAGAAAGAAGGTGTTAAATCCTGTCATGGTTAGCTTCAGTTGTCAACTTGGCACATTTGGGAAGAGGAAACTTTACCTGGGGAATCTTCAATATCCAGTTGGCCTGTGGGCATGTCTCTGAGACATTTTCTTGATTGTTGAATAATGTGGGAGAGCCCAGCTCACTGTGAATGATGCCACCCCTGGGCAGGTAACCCTGGGTTGTGTAACCTGAGCACAAGCCAAGGAGCAAGTCAGTAAGCAGCATCCCTCCATAGTCTCTGCTTCAGCTTCTATCTCCAGGTTCCTGCCTTGAGTTCCTGCCCGGCTTCCCTCAGTGATGAACTGTGATTGGGACATGTAAGCCAAAGAAACCCTTTCCCAAGTTTTGTTTTTCCTAAAATATTTTATTTATTATTTTTATTTTATGTGTATGAGTGTTATACCTGCATGTAGGTAAGTGCACCCGTGTTGGTGCAATGCCCAGGGAGGACAGAGGAGGCTGTTAGATCCCCTGGAACTGGAGTTACAGACAGTTGTTAGCTGCCATGTGGGTTCTGGGATTCGAACTCAGATCTTCTGCAAGAACAGTCAGTGTTCTTAACCACCGAGCCATCTCTCCAGCCCCCCCCCACTCCAAGTTGGTTTTGATCAGTGTTTTATCACACCAATAGAAAGCTAACTAGGCTAGATCCCCTGGGGCTGAAGTTGAGGAAAGTTGTGAGCTACCATGTGGGTCCTAGAAGCTAAACTGCAGTCCTCTACAAGAATAATAATTCCTCCTAACCATTGTCATCTCTCTAGCCCTTGATTGTATTTTTTCCATCTTGATCCTTCTAGAGGTTCATTACAGAAATGATATTTTCATTATTATTTCTCATTATTACAAGAAATTGTAGCCTGTGGACCCCTACCCTTTCTATGTCAGGAGCCCTCTTCCCCTAGTTTCTAAAACGACATGATTCACCATCACATTCACTTTGTGCATTCTTTCAAATGTGCTACCACATCTTATCCCTAGTTTGACCCGCGCTTCCTCTTTCTCTGCCTACAGCCTGATGAGCTCAACAGGACTAGAGAAAAGCAGCAGGGCATGTTAGTCTCGCTATTAAAGAGTGACATTAAGCCTGGACCTAGGATCCCTACTGTGCTGATGCATCTGCTTATTCTGCCACTCTCCTAAATTATATCTCATAACTTTTCAATCAGGAGGCATCTTTTCCACAAACTTAAATGACGGGCTTGCTTGCACCTGTTTCTATATACATTCACCCTTTCCTGCCTCTGTAGTAGGTAACCAGTCCCTACTCCTTTAGTCTCCTGTTGGATCCCAAGCACCTGGATCCTGGCATACAGTAGACACTCAACATCTTCCCAGTGGAATGAATAAGGCCAATGTCTAAAGAACTTCATATGCAAATTGAAGTTCTTTAGACATTGAACTTTGGCCTCCCACTTTGGCCTAATCAGTTCTCTTGCTTGCACTTATCATTACACAAACACGCTTAGTTCTTTCATCTTGAGGAAACCCCTTTGACCTCTCATCCCCTTCCAATTCTACCATGCTTTCAGTTCCTTTTATAATAAAACTTTTCCAAAGAACTATCTAGACTTCCTTTCTCCACTGCCTCATACCACAGTCTCTTTTGAAGCTCTCAAAAGTTTTACCCTCAGCTCACTAGTGAAACTATTCTTAAGTCCACTAGTCAGCTCCATGTTGTCAAACCAGTGGTTCTCAGAATTCACCATTCCCACTCAGCAGAGTTTGGCATCATAAGACTCTTTTCTTGCCTTTCATACAATGCACTCCAGGTTTCCTCCTCCCTCACCTGCATATCATCCTTGCCACTTGCTAGATGCTCCTTTTCTTCCAAATGTCTAAATCAATACCTGAAGCTCAAATCTTATACCTCTTCTCCTCTATAACAGTTCATCCCTTGGGTCATTTCATTGAGTCCCATCATTTTCAATCCATGTGTGGGAGGCTTAAGACAACATCTCACATTGTAACCCAGCCTGATCCGAAACTCACCATGTTGTTCAAGTTGGCCTTGAATTCGTGGTGATCCTCTTGCTTCAGTCTCTTGAGTGCTGGGATTCTAGGTGTGATCCACCATGCCCAGCTTTTTCATTCTCCCTTGGACTTACACATTTATCTGTTGACTGTCGTTCTTCCCTTAATTGTCCTATGGGTTCCACAGACTTGTCTGAATCAAAGGATGTGATTCTCACAGCTCTTGTAAGAAACAACAAAGCCAGGTGTGCTTGAGTGCTAAGATTAAAGGCATGGGCCACCATGTCCAGTTATATATGTTATCTTTTGTTATATGGAAGAGATATAGATAATTTTGAAACTGATTTTTATAATTGATATGATATTTCAAATCTAACCTCAGAAAAGAGGGTCTGATTTATCATCACAGCCAATCTCATAGCAGGGAGGAGAGGGAAGAGGGACAGAGGCCTCATCAAAGATTTGAAGGAATAGGTAAATCCTATTCTTAATACTGTTCCAGAGAAAAGGAAAAATTTCAGTTCTTTGTGATGAATTAAACACTGAGGCCAACACCTGCCAAAGACTGTGCAAAGCAGAAAATTAACTGGCCAGTCTCACTAATGAAAATTGATTATATCAATCATAAATCATTAGGAAACAATCTACCAGCTTATTAAAAGAAAAAGACTTGGGAGAGTGGCTGTCATGGCCTCCGTCTGGCTTAGATACTGAGAACTCAGCAGACAGCCTAAGAGCGCCTGGATCCAGCCTCCCCATGGTATAGATGGAATCCCACTGAAACTGGCCAACAGCCCATGGAAAACAGATGATACAGAGACCCAAAAGTTCAGTACCTTGCTGCAACAGGGGAAGATCATCCCATGCCTACCACCCCCTCCAAGGCTCAGGGACTTTTGCAGAAGAGGTTGGCGGAAAGAATGTAAGAGCCGGAGGAAGTGGTGGAGTGTTAGCTGGAAATGTCCTCCAACCACTATGCTGTAGGCACACCTCCTTCCCATGCTCATCAAGGAGTTGAAGGG